TTGACAGGATGAGTTTTTGACATTGTTTTTGTATAGTTTATCATTTTTAGTAGCAGTTGTTATTTTGATTGATACTCTAATGTATTCTAGTTTTTCTTAGAAAAATAAAGATTTATATTTTATCAAAATATATATTTATATCTAATAAGAAAGGGAACAGAACATGCTCTTAGAACCAAAAAAATCCTGTTCCTCTAGATCATATACCCCAACAAAACAAACAAAAGCACTCCTCAAATTCAATGGAAACCTATTATACCCATAATAAAAGCTCAACCCTCAAACATGTCTAAACCATTGTGTAAGTTAGATACTTAACTATAGCAGAAATGGGTGGCCAATAAAAAGAAAAAAGAAAATGATTGATACACCATCGATTCAACACATTTTTTGACACACTTTCAGTTTAGTCATTAAAAATATAAATTAAATACAGTCAATTCAACAAGTTCTTGTATCTTGTGTGCATAATTATATTATTAAACTTATCTATTTTTAATTTCATACTAAAAAATAATAATTTTTAATGAGTATGTCATTCCGGGTGTTAAATTGGAGTGTGTACCAATCATTGTCAAAAAAAAAAAAAAAACCAAAGCAGAAATTGATGAAAATCTTTAAGCTTCACTCCAAATCAAGGTGTTTTACTTATTGGATATTAACTACACTAAACTCTCTTATGATACTTTGTAATCATAATAATTTGTCTTGATAAATCTAACCCATATATGAATATATTAAGGTGTTCAAAAAGAATTGATCTGGTGGATTATTAACATGTATATATTAATTTTTAAAAATCCAGCGGATTTTTAATTTTGAGCAATCAAAACCAACAAGATCTGAAACTTACAGAAAAATCCAGATACTATAACAAATAAACAACAAAAACAACATTACTTGTACGTTTAACTTCTATCTTACGGATCGCGAAACTCGCGAGGAGTGCGCAGATATTCTTCGTGATGACATCCGTCGTCGAAATTCTGAGCATAGCTAACGGCGTCGTAATTGAGAGACAGACGTCTGGATCGACAAAGGCTCTTTCCACCCCTCACCAACCACCTCAGTAGATTCCGCCACCACCGGCCTCCCTTGTTGTCGGCAGCGACGTAGTCGTCGTTATCGCCTTTGTAATGATTAATGCGGAAGTACCGCCTTTCTTCTTTTACAGGGTAGCACGGCGGCGACATTAAGCAGCCGGAGAAGTAGGAGGATCGGTGGCTTGAGGGATCTCTCTCCATTCTAGAAATTAATTTTGATTTGGGTTTGAAATTGAATCTTGTGTTTACGTCAGGAAAATGATTTATGATTGTGAGTGAGAACGAGGATGCTGTGTTTTTTATGAGTATATGGATAGCTCTCCGTTAGTTCTCATTTTTCTTTAAAAAAAAAAAAAATACTCATTTTAGTTGGATTTATTAATTTCAAGTTGATTTTTATATAAAATTTAATTAGGATTAATATTTATCAGTTATATCTTCTAAAAATTAAAAAAATATATCTTAAAACTATTTTATTT